TTAAAAAATAACATTAAAAAAATTATCCAATCCTAACATTTTGATGCGTGGCCATAACTATACCTTTCAATGACTCATGACATTTTTCCACACAATTAATGTATAAATTAATTTTAATTTATTAAATAATAAATATTAATTATTTTATTATTTATTAACTAACAATAATTATTATCAATTATTTTTAATAATTAAATTAAACAAAAATTAATATTTTAAAAAATAACATTAAAAAAATTATCCAATCCTAACATTTTGATGCGTGGCCATAACTATACCTTTCAATGACTCATGACATTTTTCCACACAAATAACCTTTCAAATTAATATAGGACAAATCAATAAGGGCATGCATTTGTACAGACAACTCAGCCTTTTGGCCCTACTCTTCCATAAATTTTTTTAATTTAAAATTAAATTAAAAGAGATAAATTGCCCATAATTTATAATTAGTTGGATCCACCTTCAAAGATTGTACTTTTTCGGCAAAATAAGCTATTAATTTACAATAATGGAGGCTGCATGTTTCTGCACCAAGAAGCTTGGAAATTGTTGTGGTTGCCAAAGTTGAATGAAAGGGAGCGGTTCTGAAATCCGCGTCACCCTCACACCTTCTTTCTTTCCATTAATTTGTCTTGTTTGAAATAATATAGTGTAGCCTGTAGGCCATCCAAGGGCGATACGGTTTGGTTAGTAGGGAAATTTACTTCACCTTTGTTATTAATTAATTAATCAAGATATGATTTTTTTTTTGAGATTTAAATAAAGAGTTAATTACTCTTGAAGGCATGGATCATGGTCTACTTCAAACTATTTTTGTCTGAATAACATAACTCCCTCCATCTTAAAATAACAGTAGTTTTTTTTTTCTTCAAAAATTAAAAGCTTGTTTGATCTAAAAAAAAAAAAGTGAGGGGAGACAATTTTTCGTAATCTAAATATAAAAATCTTTTCTCATCCTTCCCTCCTTTCAACCATACAGAAGCTATAAGAGTTTCAAACATTAATAGTAATTTATGTTTTTAGCATACTATAGTACTATTAAAAATGAGATAAAGAATAAAAAGTAAATTTTGATGACATAATGTATATAGTAATTGAAGCTAAAAAATAACAAAAAGTTAAAGAAACAAAAAAAATATTTATTTGTTTTAAAAAACGAAATGAAGACAATTACATAATTTAAGATAAATTTTAATTAAAAAATCATTACTAATATTATTATGGGACAAAGAAAGTAAATCATAAGAGTAATTTTTAATTGCAAGGACAGAATTTCTCACTAATCTAGAAGTCCAATAATATGATTTTCTTTCACAAATTAAAAGATGTCATATTTCCTTTTGGGATAAAGCAATTCCAAAATTAAAAGATACTACTACACGTAATGTTGAGGAAAAGAATAGAAAAACATATGATAATTTTAGGGCAAGTCAAGTTTTCTAGCAAATCCACATAGCTAGTATATATAGCGAGAAGAACATTTTAATAAGTGGCTTCAATCAAACGCGTTGTTACTTACTCATGGACAATCGGTACACTGTAAAAAATATAAAAAATAACAGAGTGGACCATTTCATAATTTATTGTAGTAACCCAACGTCAAACATTTGGTAAAATTTATGGATCGATCTGCCGTGGTGGCACAGACAATCGGTTCAGCGGTGGGCCAAATTATCCAAAGCCAGCTCAAGTTGGGGGAGGTGGGACTACTCGTATTAAAGTGGGGTGAGAAGGTTCCGTGGGGCCGAAAAACAAATGCGGCGAGATGCATAAATATGACTATGGGAAGGTAAGGGAAGCCCTCCTGTTTGCCGTGACAAAACACCTCACTTTGGGAATATTTTTTTCTTCTCATACAAATGTGGCATGTTGAAATATGGATAGATTGAGAGTTTGACTTGTTGGAGTATAAATATGTGAGTGGAATTGAAATAAGTGTATAAAATTTTATAGGAAAATTATCGGTATATTATTAGTTTAACATTTTTTTGATATACTTTTAGTTTAATTATTAAAAATATAATATAAATACAATTAATTCAATCGATTTTTATATCTTGTGTACATGATTGTATCATTAAATTTGTTTGTCTTTAATTTCAGATTAAAAAATAATAATTTTTTAATAAGTGTGTCATGCAATGTGTTAAACTAAAGTATGTATCAATCATTGTCTAATTTTATATTGATAAAAAATAAAATGTTAGAAAATGTAATATATATATATATATATGTGGAGGCTTATGAATTAATTAATAAGCATGTATTTTAGATTTAACATAAGATTTTTTCATATACATTTGTGTACTCTTAAATAAATGGTATTAAAGTTGATGGTTTGATCCTGATAGTGCAATTAAGTATTCATGAACCAAAGATGGGTTTCGTCAAGGATTGAAGGTGTGGAAAAGTCCACACATAGAGTAGGTCCGAAGTAGCTCCATTCAAGGCAGAATAGGCAAAATATTGGAGAATTGCAAAATAAGAAGTAGGGCTCTTTTTTTTTTTTTTTGATTAAGGGTAATTTTTTGGGAGAAGGGGGGATTGGACCCAATCCGTGAGACTGGGTGATACACACCGTTATTAAGCGGCCTACTAAGTCAAATGTGTGAAGTAGGGCTCTTATTGAAACATTATGTGAATAAAGTTAAAAGAAATAAAATATGTCTTTTAAATTTAATATAACATATTTTTATGTATGTTTGTGCTATCTTATATGCGTTCTTCCGAACTGATTTAGTTGACTTTCCAACACCACTCTTGGTAACAACTTAGATTTCATGTCTCTTTTTTCTTGTAAATTGTAGTTGTCACTGTATAAAAAATGTAAAGGTTCTATAATGAGGTGCTGATATTTTACTAAGATGCTGTACAATTTTTTGAACGATCGAAGTTTTTGTTAATTGGTGGAGATATGAAGCCACATAAACACTTAATGTAGAGTAAATTTGTCTTGGTCATTAGAACAGCTAGTTACTCGACTGATGACCCAACTATCAGGCGGGGTTTAAATCTTTTTGTTAACATTCCCCTTTTCCAACCAAGTAAAAACCATCATCCCTCGTTAAAGAGATGTATATCAATTAACGACTTAATAGTTCAGGTAAAACAAAATTAATTTTTTAAATAAAATTTTAAATTTAAATTTTATAAATAAATAAATAAATAAAAGTGGTAAGAGAACTGCCTCTCTAATTTCAGTTCAACTCTAAATTGATTTGTGTTTTATGTAACTTCCGATTTGAGCGTTTACTGAAAGAAAGAAAGAGATGTACTGTAAAATTTATGCAAGGGTTCAGGATCACGAGGATAGATGGCTCTGGGAAGGACACGCTCCAATCAGGAGGTTGGGTAGTTAGGTGTAGATTCGGGGGTGACGTAAAATTAGATACGTTACCAAACATGCATGTTGGGACTGCTGGGAACATTTTGGTTTGCCCTCCCTGCGACCTCCAATGAAATTTGTCATTGGCTGAAGAGTGAGACTATTAGCAAAGGTATTTTTGCTTCGTACGTACAAAACCTTGGCCATTCCTAAACTTTTTAAGAAAAAAATTATTCTATCACGAGAATTTATCTCTAAATCAATTTATTTAGACCATGAGCACCCAAAAAATCTCTGTTATCATTTAACAAAGGTATACAAGTTTATTAGTGAGTATGTATTTCTTATAACTCTTTTAGTTATGTAATGGATGATCAATCTTTGATTGAATTTAAAAGATTTATATTTAACCACATTAAAGATGATTTAATTTTAAAATGCATACAAACATACTTAAGGCACCTTAATTGTTAAATAAAATATAAAAACAAGTTGGTCTAGCACTTAGTGATTTACTGGCCACCCCGATAAAAAAGTGTTTGGATATCTAAAAACTTGAGTTTTATACATGGTTCCTCTTTCTCTAAAATTTTTTACTATAAAAAAATAAAAATAAAAATAAAAACAAGTTGATAAGAATAAAAAGAAAAAGGGGATTTGGCTCGACCATATAGGTTTGAACATTTCAACTTGTAATTCTTGAGTTTGATATTAAAGTTTGATATAGTTAAGAGAAAATAAGATAGATTAACAAGAAGAATTTAGTTAAATTATTACTTACTAATTTAAATTTTTTAATTTGAGATTTAGATAAGATATTTAAATCTCTCTTATGATAATTAATCAGCTAATCTTCCAATATACTTAAATAATAAAAAAAAAGATAGATTGATTTATTCATGTCATACAATAATGGCTAAGCACACCGGTGTACTATCATCTTTCCCTCTTCACAGCTTAAATCAACTCAAAACAGGAGAAAGGAATCCTGTGCCGGTAATTTACAAAACCCATCGGACTCTCACTTCCGGGGGAACAAAAAGTAAAACCCCAAAATCAAAATGATTGACAAAAATGAAGGATGGATTAATTTTACATGGAACTAGGCTCTCGATCGAGTGAACCTCTAATTCACTACTGTTAAAAAGGAGGAGAATTCGAGAAAGCCTTTCTTTCTCATCAAAGAAACAGGTTGAGTATCCTCTTCTCCGTTCCTCCTCCTCCATGTCCCTGTGCTCCGAACCCACTGTCCAAGCAGGCTGTAACACCGGATTCCTCCGATGGAGTGCCCGGATGTCTGCCGTCCGTTACTTCCTTGGCCGTGAGGGTAGGGGTCAGACAGAGATCCAGATCGGATGGAGGTGGTTTCTTAAATTCCTCTTCCATCTTTTGCTTTGGCGAGACCTTGGATCTCGAATTTGTAAATCTGAAGTTCGAGTTCAGATTCATCGTTTCTTGGAGCTTCCGAGTATCCGTCCAGGTTGCTTCCGAAGTTTCATCGGATGCCGGTGAAGAAACCGTCAACTCCGGCAACGGCCGGAGGGTTCCGCCAAGGAGAACGGTCTCCACCGCCACCTGGCACACATGCCAGTTCCCCGTCCACAGCAGCCCTACCGCGCCGTTCACTGGATTCACCGTCCTTCCGCACGCTTCAAACAGCAAGGATTGAAACAACGCTGAAACACAAACACAACACAACACACGACACAAGCAATTGAGCACTAAATTGAAAAATCCAAATCCAATCCGAGAAATGTGAGAAAATTATAAAAAAAAAGAAAAAAGAAAAAAAAAAAGGACACACCAGGACGCTGAGATTCCGAAACGGCGGAGAGGAAGGAGATGAGGCCAGCGCGGCCAAAAAACTTGGCGACGAAAGCGGTGGCATGGCCTTGGGCCTCGGCGCTGTCGATCCACTGAAGACAGGGACGCAGAATACAGGACTCACTGCATCCCTTTCGCAAAACTCTGCACCCATTGCAACTCATCGTTATAGCCTCACATGAAAACGAAAAACCCAGAATCTTCTATTCTTGAAAGTTTTAGAAAACTATTACTAAATACTTTGGGTGAAGATAAAAGGAGAAAAATAGTACAAAGATATATAGAGAAAGAGGAGGAAATGATAGAGCAATATATAAGTGCAGGTAAAGAAAGACGGTACAACGGTTGAACCGTTGGAGAAGGTTTTAAAAGCGTGGGGATGTAAGCTTAAGCGTGGTATGATGGGGACGGACTATTTTTCAAAATTTGTCATTTTTTTTTTAATTATTACATTTGTTTTCTCCTTGGGTTTTATGACATAAGAAAACCCTTTTCCTACTTATTTAAACTTTAAATATGTGGAGAACGTCTTTGTGTTTCACTGACTATCGCTTCTTTATAAGGGATTTTCTATGCATGTTGCTTGGAGGTGTGGGGTTCGAGACTCATTTTAACATTCAAAAATAAAAAAATTTAAATATGTGATCTTTAAATTAGAATTTTAAACTTTTAATTAGTTAAGTTATTAAAGGCAAAAATAATGTTATAATTATGAATGTATTACGTTATTTGCTCATTAAAAGCTATTGAATAAAGGTGTTTTAGATGTATTAATGATTTAAATAGTTTAGTGATAATTTTTTTTATACTCAAAGTAAAAGATTCTAATTATAAAAGTATGTGTGGGATAGGTAAAAATGTATTTTTATAAAGAAAATTATTAATATACCTTTCAGTTTAACATATTTGTCAACATCTATTGATTCAACTATTAAATCCTACAATTAAAATTTTTCTCGTCTTGAATTTAAATTAGAAAATAATATATTTTTTTAATAAATGTGTTACAAACTATATTGAATTGGAGGGTATACTTGTTTACACCCATTTTTGCAACAAATAAAATGATGCCACATGTCATCCATGTTGGAAGGAATTTTATTTGTTGAAAAGTTATTGATGTAGATCTCTTAAGATAAGGTTCAGTGATTGTTTCTACAATGTCAACAAGGCCATTCGCTTGTTACATACTTCTAGGAGCATAATTGGCAACACCAACAATTTAATCAATTTGTTGCAGATTTCATGCTGTCATTAGTTTTCAAGATGCTGCTAAGAGGTGGTTTATTACTATAAATAGGCAGATAAGAGATCAAGCAAGAAGACCTACCTCTTACACAACAGGCTCAATGCAATTTCTTCTTATGCCCAAATTTATCTTAGTTTCAAGCCTTTTAGTTAGTTTTAGCTCTACGCTTCAACTTAAATTAGTTTTCAACTTTAGTTTATGTCTTTTCCTTTAGAAATCCTAGAAATTAATTACAGTTCTCTAAGAAAGCAATTCAATTACCCTTTTGTTGGTTTTGTAATGGTAAGATTCGTTGGCTTTAGTAATATTTCTTTGTAATCGAATTGCTTCCTTTCCTTTATTATTTTCTTAGTTTCTTTTAATTTAATCAAATGATGTTGATATTTAATTTCATGTTTTGTTCCATTTCTGTTAATACATTTCATGCTACCAGTAGATTTTCCATGTTTCCAGTTTCATTTACTTTAACTTAATTTATTTTTTTTTCCACATTTAGATTTCCTTTTAGAGCTCTATTTCAACTCAACTTGCTTATTTAAAATTCATTTAGATTTTTTAGTAGTTTGGTGATCATTTGCTTTTCTTACAGTCTTAACTTTCCTCGATTACATTAGTTTGGAGGAGTCCTTGGAGTCATATTCAAGACATTTTGTTGTATAGCCCATTTAGTGTAGGAAGATCATCCCTCGTTTCTATCAATCGTCTGATCATTAAGGTGCAGTCTACAACGTTCTTCCATTAACTCACGATTGAGTTTCACGCTTAGAAAAAAGAGAGGGTCATCGAAGAAATCTTTCTTCTTTTGAGCAAAGCAAGTGGTATGCCGTTTCATCTACATGTGTCAAGGAGATTTTTTTGGGGTAACAATCCATTTTTGGCACGCTTGGTGGGACCCTACTGTGTCTCACCCATAGTTTTTAGATCCATTTTTTCTATATCCAAAAAGAGGCATAAGTATGCCACTCAAAAACAAAAATAGGGATAAGGAGGTTCAACCACTACAAGCTAAACATGGAGATGACAGCTCACCCCAATCTGAATGTGAAAATGATCCTATTACTTTTTCCCCATTGTCACCTCTTGTGGAACGGTCCTGTGGAAGTCCAATATTCAATGAGAAAGATGCAGATCGTGGGGATGATTTTGTTGAGTCAAGTAATGTGCTCATAAGCTTGAATGAACGGTTGGAGTTAGTATGCAAAGAGTAGACCCAGACTATGCAAAGACTCATCGAGAGCCATATGGAATCTTCTAGGCACCATACAGAGGTGATAAGACAATATATGGCTAAAGTGAGGCATGTATTTGAAGAAGGCACTAGAGTAATGCGAGAAATAGGGGATGAGAGTCGAAAAACGTTGCAGGCCATTTCAAATTAGGTGGTTAAACAGGTGTGCCAGCCTAGACTAGAAGTATCATTGCCAGCTCATGCAACAAATCCTCTCAGGTAGATCCAAAATCCTCTAGCTCTAGCGCTCAAGAAGCAAATTAATCAATTGTAAGTGGTATAGTAGATGCCCAATGCTCAAAATAATGCTCTTGGTGTTGACCAAATGCAGTTCAATAGGCAGCAACAGAACAATCTTGCTGACGGCATCCCTGGACCACAAGACCCTATAGAAGCAATATTTCGTGCAACTGAGCAGTTCAACACCAACCAACAAAGATATGTACCTCTTGCAAGGCATCCAAATGCTGCCCCACAACCTAGTTTGCAGAACAATACCAATTATTATCATTTTTATAATCATAATTGAATTAATGAGGTATTTTTAAAATTATATTAATATTCTTATTTTTTTTAAAAATATTCTTCCCAATCTAATCTCGGTTCTGTTTAGTGTTTTGAGTATTGGTTTTTTGTTATTATTTTTTTAATATAATAAAATACCATATCATATTAAATTTAATAAACTATAATTTTTTAAAATAAATTTTTAATTGCTAAATAAAATGGTAAATTTTAATTCTTTTTGTTTTAATTGTCTAAAACTTATTGCTAATTAAAAAAGAAAATTAGTTCTTAAAAATTTAAATAAGTTGTTGACATTAATTTTTAATTTTGATTTTGGATTCAATTTTCAAACTTATTCATTTCAATTTTAATTGTTAAAACAAAAAATAATAGCAACAATGATACTAAACCAAACTTACTTCCTTTCTTGCAAAATAATAAACGTTAGTTTTTTTCTTTTATTTTAAAATTAAAGGTTTAGGGATAATTTCTTTTTTTTTTATCTTTAAAAAAATAAAAATAAAGAGACTCTTTTATAATAGGATAGATAATTAAAATCATAAGTTTAAAGTAAAAAAAAAATTCTCCCTTAAAATATGAAAAAAATAACTATTATTTTGAGACAAATTTTAAATGAAAAAATATTTTATTATTTTTAGATAGAAAGAGCACATTTTCTCTTTTTTTATGTCAAAAACCATTAATTATATCAATCTCATGAGAGAGCAATTTCCAAAATATTTACTTAAAGTTAAACTTAAAAGAAAAGCACAAACATAACTAGAAGAAAAGGCATTTTTTTGGATCAATACTATAAAAAAATTGAGGTAGCACAATGCAACATAGAGAGCTTAGTTTAATATTGTGGCAAATCAAGACGAGGGCATCGTTTGGCAGTGTGGCATTTGCGTGGTATGTAGTGGGTACCGTTTGTTGGGATGGGGTTCCAAGGTCTTGGGCGCGAGCGGCCCCGTGTCTCCGCGGATGGTTTCCTCTCAACTCCACCGTAGGGATTCCTTTCTTTCCGGCCTTCGCCAAAAGCTGTTATTTTTTATTTTGAATTTAATTTTAAAAGCTGAAATAAAAAATAAAAAATAAAAAATAAAAGATAAAAAATATATATATAAAAGATAAAAAAAAAAAGAAAAGAAAAAGAAAAATAAACAAAAGTAAATTGCTACGTCAGAAGGGTAATGGCAGCACATGAATAATGTATTGTGTGTAGGGGCAATATTCGTGGGGTTGGGAACGTGGGGGTGGAAATTGATTAAATAAAGGATAGTGGGATTAAAAGATAATGGTATTCTTCGAGACTAAATAATGATTAATGGGTTTGTGCAAAGATTAAGAAGCATAAACCATTCTTAGTGGTGCAGTTAAAAATCTTATGGAGTAATTTTTTATAAATCACCCAACTCAAATTTAGAAGATTTTGAATTTGGCTCTATATGTATAAATTTTATATAAACTATCAATTATTGATTTCATAAATAAATAAACTAAAAAAAATGAAAATAAGACATTTTAACATT